CCATGCAGTCAGTGTGGAGCAACTGGAGACCAAGCTGGATCCTGATGTTGTGACTCCCTCATGATGTGGGTGAAAAGGCATGGGGAGATTCCAGAACTTTGGGAAAGGCAGCAGCGGGGAAGGTGCCACCCTTTGCTGAGGGTGGGGAATGATGGAACAAAAAAAAGCAACACGAGGATGGAGGGGTGGATTGGGTTGGTCTGGCCTTTGGGGGTTGGAATGAGGAGCTGAGATTGGATTGCAAAGGGTTGAATTGGTATCACTGCCCTGCAGAGCTGGATCCTGTGGGCTCTCTGGGCTGACTTCTGAGGGTGGCTCATTGAAGCTGAGGGGAGCCAGGCCTGTTATGATGAAACACTGATTTCCTCCACACTTCAGCTCTGCCTTGTTGGGCTGCAGCAAGGTCTGTGCTGGATGAGATTTTAGCAATTCTTCCCCTGCAGAAGCTCTGCTGAGTGCCTGAGTCCCTGAGCAGGGGAGGCTTGTTTGAGCCTGTGCCCTCCCCGTGCTGCTCACTCAGCCCTGCCTTGCCCAAGGCTCTGGGCTGGGTTTCACCACAGAGGTTTGGGTTCCCTGCTGTCTGCAGCAGTGTCCTCATTGAAGGGACAGTGGTGGAAAAGTAAAATTCACCTGGGCACCTTTAAATGAAATCTTCACCCCTTGGTTTAAATGATCTAGGAGTGAGACAACAGATCAGCTTGGAGCAGCAAAATTTTGGTGACACTTTTATCTTCCACAAGTTATTACTCAGAAATTACTCATCAATGGGATTCATCTTGGGTAACCTTTGAACACAGAGCAGAGAATTAATTTGATAAATAATCTGAAAAACCCCCCAGTAAAAGTAGTTTATCAGCAAAATTACTGTGAGGTTTGTTTTTGCTAAGAAAGTGGATTTGTTTCATCACCTGCCAAAGTTTTATGCAAATAGTCCAACCCGAAGCACAAGTATTTCTGATTGGTACTGTTTGCCTTGGAAGCTCCTTATTTCATTGCCTGGTGATGCTGAGCTGATTGATTACAATTGAGGAGATGTTAAGTGATGGTCTGATGTTGAAATGTTCCTTTTGCACCTGTAAGGTCATTCAAGATCAGCTGAAGGCAGGCAAAAAGGCCAGGAAGGCAAACAGAAGGGCTGCCTGTTTCA